AGATCAAAATAACATAAAACAACATTTTACTTTAGAATAAGAGAGGCAGAGGCAGGTGGCTATTAATATTTTTGACTCCTGGCAAATACTTCCTCAGAGACTTACACCCATTCCCTGTTTGGTGGTAGGACATTTACAGCCTCATCAATTTTCTGGAAGACAGGATCTGGGTAGGGAAAGGCAGCCTAAGCCATCATACACTCAGTAACTAACCACTTAGGGGAAAAGTATATACTTTCATTCTACAAAGGATCTTAGAGAGGTAATCTGCCAACCTTTCATTTAAAAGGAAAAGACCCGGGCGCCTGGGTGGCTCAGTTGGTTAAGCGACTGCCTTCGGCTCAGGTCATGATCCTGGAGTCCCGGGATCGAGTCCCGCATCGAGTCCCGCATGGGGCTCCCTGCTCGGCAGGGAGCCTGCTTCTCCCTCTGACCCTCCCCCCCTCATGTGCTGTCTCTCTCATTCTCTCTGTCTCAAATAAATAAATAAAATCTTTAAAAAAATAAAATAAAATAAAATAAAATAAAAGGAAAAGACCCTAAACCCCAGAGAACAGAGGTAATTTCTTCTCAAATCCGGTCAGTAGAACCCAGGTATCCTGACTTGATCAGTCATTGTTTCTACTATCCACAGGCATGTCTCTTCAGGACATTAAAATTTTATAAATATAGGGGCACTTGGGTGGCTCAGTCATTGGGCGTCTGCCTTCGGCTCAGGTCATGATCCCAGGGTCCTGGGATCGAGCCCTGCATCAGGGTCCCCTCTCCACATCGGGCTCCCCGCTCTGCGGGAAGCCTGCTTCTCCCTCTCCCACTCCCCCTGCTCATGTTCCTTCTCTCACTGTGTCTGTCAAATAAATAAATAAAATCTTTTTAAAAATTAAATTAAAAAAATAAAATTTTATAAATATAGCCAAAATGTTCAGAAGGGGAGAACACTCATGAAACAAAAACTGAGACTAGAGGGGCACTGGGCTGGCTCAGTTTGAGAGCACGTGATTTTTTTTTTTTAAGATTTCATTTATTTATTTATTTGAGAAAGAAAGAGAGAGAGAGAGCGCGCGTGCACACATGAGAAGGGGGAGGGTCAGAGGGAGAAGTAGACTTCCTGCTGAGCAGGGAGCCCGATGAGGGACTCGATCCCGGGACTCCAGGATCATGACCTGAGCCAAAGGCAGTTGCTTAACCAGCTGAGCCACCCAGGTGCCCCGAGCACGTGATTCTTGATCTCAGGGTGTGAGTTCCAGCCCCACATTGAGTGTAGAGATTACTTAAATAAACTTAAACAAACAAACACTTAAGGAATTCTGACTCTTGACCCCAGACACGAGAACTTAAGAACAAATCATCTGAACATCCTCAGTTGTCTAATCAGAGATGCTCTAAGTTTGACTGGCTCATGGTTTCAGGCAGCTGAAACGGACTTTCCCAGTTCTGACTCACAGTCCTCTGAGAGAAGGTCTCCATCCAGTTTTAAAAAGAATAAAACAGTATTACAGGGATGCACAGCACCACTCAGTGAAATTAATCCAGCAAGGGGAGGTAAACCAAAAGGCTGAAGATACCTGCTGATTTAGCAAAGTACAGGAGGAGTGCCAGCCAACACCTGCACACTGTTTTTAGTCTCCAGAGACTTTCAAGGTCAAAGGCAGAAGAAAAAATCTGGGCCATGCAAATTTCTTTTGTCATCTGAGTTCAATGGGACTGAGGCTCTGAATGAGTGCTCATGCCCAGCTGTCTTGAGTCATCACTTTCTATTCTTCACTAAAAGTATTTCAGAAAAACATTTTAGGAAAACAGTATCTCCTAAACTACAAATGTCATGGGATGGAAGTGGAAGAGGACAGAACAGAACGTAATGTTGTAAAAAGTACTATCAGAGAATCTTTATTAAAAATGAACCAAAAAAAAAAAAAAAAAAAGAACTAAAATGGCCAAGGGCACCTGGCTGGCTCAGTTGGAAGACCATGTGACTCTTGATCTTGGGGTCATGAGTTCAAGCCCCACCTTGGGTATAGAGATTACTAAAATAATAATTATAAAATAAAAAAATAAAAGTTTTTAAAATGAACTAAGATGAATTAGTTAATTTTGACCATATGGGCAACACCCATATGTTCTGTACCCATTTTTACTGATGCAAATAATAACTTTGCAGGTAGCTGATTAGTCCTTCTAAATGATAAATCAGAACATTTGAGCACACAATTTTAACTGAAAGTTGAAACTATTTAAATTCTCAAATGATGGGGCGCCTGGGTGGCTCAGTTGGTTAAGCGACTGCCTTCGGCTCGGGTCATGATCCTGGAGTCCTGGGATCGAGTCCCACATCGGGCTCCCTGCTCAGCAGGGAGTCTGCTTCTCCCTCTGGCCCTCCCCCCTCTCATGCTCTCTCTATCTCATTCTCTCTCTCAAATAAATAAATAAATAAAATCTTAAAAAAAAAACAAAAAAAAACAAATAAATTCTCAAATGATGGATATTAAGCATCGATGGCTCTTTCTTTTCTTGAAAACTGCCTTGCAACAGGGTATTCCACTCATTTTGTTGGAACTTCCAAGACCTAGACAAAGATCCATTGTCAGAGAGAATGTCACTATGACAAAAGGGCACAAATTTTCTTCTTTTGCAGTAATTTTATTAAATACTGCTTGAAACAAGCAGGCAATTGGCTAGACTAGGGAAACATTATTTCTGTTGTGCAAATATCTGTGTTATGCCATTATCATATGGTAGTATAATTTGGACTCTACACATACAGTTCCCCATCCTCCAAAAATCAGTGAATAAATAACTGGAAGGAAATGTATCAACTTTCAATTTACAGTTGAAACTATACGGGTTTGAGAACTAGACTCAGTGAACCATGCAACACCTGGGCAATGTCAAACTCAATGTACAATATATGCTCTCATTAATTAATATGCCTAATGGTCATCTTGACCACCCCCCATAATGATATTCCTCTTTGGAGTACTTTAATTTCATGTAGCAAATACACTGTTAAAATTACTTGAGAGAAGGATATTAAAATTTTTGTCCCTCTTCAGACCACCCTACGCACACTATCCCAAGGGAATGTGAGTAATGAGTACTTAAGCAATAGGCATCGCCTTGATATTTCCACAGCACTGCTAATCTAGTTTGGGTCAGTCTGAAAATGTTATTCCATTCTGAAATATCTAGGCAAATGTTGCTTTTAAGTATTTAATACGATAAAGAAGGCAATAGAGCCCTTTTAACAATGTATCATTTTACTTACACTCCTCTGTTATCACCTCCTCAGGAAGCCTTTAAAACCAAAACACACAAGTGACCAAGAGAATGTGTGAAGTCGAGAATGCACAAAAACAGACTGCAGAGACAACTTAATTTTGGCTGGGCCCTCATCTAGCCAAGACAGGGAAAACCTCTGGTAACAATAACTAAATAGAGAAACTCAACCACTTTCAGGACTCCTCAGTATGGCTATACAGATTTACTAGAGGTGAATTGGAGATGAAAGGGCATATACTGCAGATACCGTGTAACAAGGCATGTTGCTCATTTCCTCATGTGTAAAATGGGCATAAAGCCTTCAAACCATAATATAAGAATATGATAAGATAATATAAGAAAAATAGTTGACTTGGGGCACCTGGGTGGCTCAATTGGTTGAGCATGCAACTCTTGGTTTCGGCTTGAGTCATGGTCTCAGGACTGTGGGATCAAGCCCTGTGCTGGGCTCCTGCCTTGGCGAAGAGTCTGCTTAAGGATTTCTCTCCCTCTGCCTCTTCCCAACTCCTGCTCTCTCTGTCCACCTCCCTCTCTCAAAAAAACAAATAAATCTTAAAAAAAAGAAAGAAAAACAGTTGGCTCAAAGTTCAGTTTCCTTTCCCTGCCACACCAATATTGCTATGACTACATGGAATGAGTTATTTGCATTAAGAAAGATGCATGAGAGCAAGCTGTCTTTAAACATGCAGTCAGCATATACTTGGGTTCTGTCTCATCTTTATAGGTGCTGTTTATATCTGGAAATGAGTTCTTAACTACCAGTAATGTCTTTTCACCCTGAAAGGAAAGAAGAATAAATACAGTATGGCAGGAATTCAAGGATGACACAACATACAGTCAAGCAGTCCCTTTGAGTGAAGCATAGTTGACACTCTAGGATTACTAATTTATAACAGGCCCCAACTACTCATTCCAACAGCCTCTATCATCCTAACTAGCTACTTTCAGTAGGGGAGGAGGCAGGAGAGACTGACCTTGATTCACCTCATTACTGACCAAATGTGGAAAACCCTTTAGCACAGTGATTCTCAATTTTGGCTGCACTTGGCTCCACATCAAATCACCTGGGGAGTTTTTAAAGCTCTCACTGCCCAGATCATACCCCAAACATCTGAATATCTGCGGTAGGGTGCAGGCACTGGTAATTTTTTAAGGTTCCCAGTGATCCAAGGTGCAGCCAAGGTTGAGAACCACTGTCTAGGATCACGCCTCCTGACCTCATCTAAATTCTGCTGAAAGCCAACCTAGAGCATTTCACAACCACAACTTCTGAGTAGAGCAGGTACAACAGGGTCCTGAATGCTGGAACATCACTGATGCCTGCACCGAGGTCCACACAGAGGGCTGAACGAAAGCTTATTAGCAGGAGGGTTACCCAGATCCTCACCTGACAGCCACCTTTTCCAACATTTGCACTAAAAACAAACAAAACCCCCAAGTAACCAATCTTAAGAGATGTCACCAAAGCCCGCTAGGAATTTTTTTTCTTTTTTAAAGTCAAATCTCTTGGGAAAGAGAGTATATGGGAGAGCGCACCCCCTACACACACACACACACACACACACACAGAGCCTATAGACAGAACCATACAATTCCTATTGCCGCCCAGAAAACACCCCGTAAACTCCCCTCAGCTCAGCGCAAGCGGGCGCGCGCCAGCCTGTGGCCACTGCACCTGCTGTCGCTCTGGGCCGCACCTGCCGCGCCCGGCCCTCTCCTCCTACCTTCCAGCAGCTCGTCCAGGCTGGTGACCTTCCGACTGCCGTCGATGGTGTAGATGGTGCGGACACCCTGGGGCAGATTCACGTTGTCCGACAAGGAGCGGGTGAGCTCCATGAGCAACGCATCGAAAGACCGGAAGCGGTCGCTGGAGATGGCAAACACCAGGCCCTTGAAGTAGCGGTCCCCATTCCGGTAGAAGCGCGCCTTCTTGGCCCTCTTCTCGGAGCTCAGAGCCTGCAGGGTGCGCGTGCGGTAGAAGCTGCAGTGGGCACTGTGCGCCGGGCTGGGGATGAGCCCGTTCCCCTTGGGGCCCGAGCTGCTGCTGCCTCCCGAGGAGCTGGGCGCCCCTCTCCGCGACCCCGGTCGCGGCCTTTTGTCCCGTTCCTCAAAGTGCTCCAGCTCAATACTCCTGGTGCTGGCCATCACGGCTGCTCCGAAGGCTCCCGCACAGAAAACGTCCCAGCCAAAGCCTCCGGGTAGCCTAGTGTCAACGCGAGAATCAGTTCGGGGACGTCCGACCGTGGGGCGGGGGGGAGGGGAAGGCTCAGGGCGCCGGGACACCTGGCTCTGGCATCCCGCCCTCTCCTCACAGGTGGGGCCGCTGAGCCGCCGAGGAGCCGAACGGCCCGCGCCCCCCCTAAAAGTGGCCGCAGCGTCGAGCTGCCCAGCTCATTGTCCAGGCGGCTCGCTCCGTCCAGCCCGCAGGGAGCCCCCCGCGCGCCTTCTCCACCCAGCCACGCCTCGCAGCTCCCGCCTGGGAGCTGGCCCGGAGACGCAAGGTCGGGCCGCCCGAGGTTCGCCCCGGACCCGCGGGCGCGCACAAAGCTCGGGCGCTGGCCGCGGCTCGCGTCCGCCCGCGGCTCCCGGGAGGCCGAGGGGAAGGAAGGAAGAGGAGGGGGAGGAGCTGGGAGCGTGGGAGCGGCGCCGCGGGCCCGCAGGGGCGTCGCGCCGGGCCCCGGCCCGCCCACGAGCCCTGCGGGAGGCCCGCGATGCGGCGCCCCCGCCTGGCTCGCCCGCAGGCCCTGTCCTAGCGGCGGCGCGCGCGGACTCGGGCTGGGAGGCCGCGCGGGGGCCCCTTCCTCCCACAGAGCCCGGCCCTAGCGGGAAATAATGCGGCCCGCCTCCCTGGCTGCCGACCGGCCCAGCCCACCCGCGAGCATCCGCGGCCGACTCCGCGGCCGGCCCGGCTCGCTGGCGGGGCTGGAGTTGGGGGTGGCGGGGGGGGGGTCCTGCCGCGCAAGGGCTGCCAAAGCCCGGGAGGAAGGCGATGCGCGGGGAGAAGGGGCCGCACGGGTCAGCGCGGAGGCCCTGCGGCGGGAGAGGCCCGACTCCTCCTGGGTCCTAGGCAGCCGCGACCGCCTGACAGCTACAAACCCGCGCCGTGCGCCAACGGGCGCAGCCGCGGGACGCGCTCCTCCGCCTGGGAAACGTAAACGCGCAGGCCAAAGACACTACAAAGGAAGGAGATTCAAGGGCAGAGACCACATCCCTAACTAGCCTCCAAAGGAGGAACCGAGGCTAAACCTGGACGGAAATTCGAAACATGACATTGGATTGGGGCACAAAATTTATAAAAGAAAATTTGAAGCTTTATTTTAAAATCCTTTGATAAAACAGTTTCCATTGCAGATTTGCTAACAGAGGATGCTGAGTAACTTTGAAGGGATAAATGACCAGAAGTTATTGGGTTCTGAGGGATTTATTTAATCAACAAATATTTATTAAGAGCAAGCCATGTGTCAGGCGTTGTTTCCACCCCTGGGGATGCATTAGTAAAGGAAACGAATACCTCCCCTCCCCCACTCACAGTCAAGTGGTATTTAATGTTGTCAATTGAGCTTCTAAGTAATAGGTCTAACGTTTGTAAGCACCCATCACACTGGAAATCTTAATTTACTACTGTCAACAGTAAAAACATATTTCCTAAAGGTTTATGAGAAACATTAGTTATTTCCATTTTGCTATCAGGGAAAGATGAGGCCAAAAGATGTTTGGTCCTAATCTAACAGGTGGATAAGCTACCCTGAAACCTTATTTATTCGGCACCTGTTTCTTTGAGTGGCCCTAGACAACAAATCCAAATCGACCTGGAAGGTTGGAAGGCATGGCTACTTTTCTTGGAATGAACTGCGTCCTGGAAGAACATGAGTAAGAAAAGGCAGGAGTATATGCAGTGGTTCTTCAGCAGCTGTGAAGTTGCCCTGGCATGGCAATGATCCAGAAGAATCCTGTTCAGTGCACCACTGTAGTCCAGGACAGTCTCAGGGACACACCTGGACATAGCTGACTTCTAGAACCAGGCCTGGAGCAGGCCAGGAAGTCAGCTGATCTGAGGTTACATTGTAGTTTTCAAGGGGAAAAATTCTAAAATATTATTAGGTCCATGACCACAATAGACCTCAACCCAGACCAATTAAATCAGAATTTCTGGAGATAGGCTTCTCCAACAGTATTTCTTTCTTCCTTCGGTTTTTTTTTTTTTTTTTTTAAGATTTATTTATTTCAGAGAGAGCGAGCTTGCGAGCAGGGGGAGGGGCAGAGGGAGAGGGAGAGAGAATCCCAAGCAGACTCCCTGCTGAGCATGAGCCAAAACCAACAGTGGGGCACCCAGCCGACTGAGCCACCCAGGAACCCCAACCAACAGTATTTTTTTGAAAGTGCTCTTAATGTATATAGCCAGGGCTTCCAACTACAGACTATAACATTAAGAATCAAAAGACCAGTGTTTCTTCTCAAACTCTGATGTACTTATACATAGTAGGGGAATCTCATAAAATGTGGCTTCTGATTGAGTAGGTCTGCGGTAGGATTTGAAATGCCACATTTCTTAAAGAGCTTTTTTCTAACAAGCTTCCAGGCAATGCCATCACTGCTGGTCTCCGTACAGTACTTTGAGAAAAGAAGAACTAAATGGCAAATTCCTTGAGACAAGGCCTCATTAAATACAACTAATTGCAGAGCCTATCAACTTTGTAAATGGCTTAACATGGGTGTGTTCATCTGTTTTGCTATTACTATACCTTGGGGGAAGAAAACACTTTCTAATTCATTGCGGTAGTAACAAATTATCCCAAATCTAGTGGTTTACAGCAATAAATATGCATTATCTCAACAGTTTCTGTGAGTCAGAAATCTAGAAGCAGCTTCCCTTGAGTTTTCATTAGATTGCAATCAGGACGTCGACTGGGGCTGCAGTCATCCAAAGGTCTGACTGGTACCTGGAGACCCACTTCCAACATGGCTCACTCACGTTGGCAGGAGCTCTTAGTTCCTCACCATGAACACCTCTCTGTAGGGTCACTTGAGTGTTGTAACAACATGTCAGCTGGCTTCCCCTAGAGTAAGCATTCATGAAAGAACAAGGTGGAAGCCATTACATCATACCCACGCTATCCTGTAAGGTATACAGCTCAGCCCCATTCAATGGGGGACACAAGGGTATGACTACCAGGTGTCAGGGATCATTGGGGTCATCTTGCAGGCTGGTCGTGCAGGCTTCAATCACTCAAGCTTTAGGACACTGACATATACACATTTTCTCACTCAAAGATTTCTGATAAAAGATTTGGCCCTTTTAAAAAGTGAAGACAATGATGTAATATGCCAGTATTTTCACATTATTCCCTAACATTATATCCCTAAATTAAACAAAAATTACTGTTTCTCAACAAGGGTGAGGGCAGAAGAGAATTTCCAAAGCTGTTACTTAATTAAAATTATTTTGCTCCTGCTCTTGAATTAATTTGTTTAAAGGATTTTATTCCAAACCCTCATATAAGAATTAAGATGTGATCACTTTTCATAAGATATTTACATAATGTATATGGTATATATCAAGATCCAGTTCAAAAAAAAAAAAGATCCAGTTTGCCAAAATTTGAGTATTTATGGTGGTGGGAAAAAAATTAGTTTTGGCATTAAAATCCTAAGGCAAGCAAAATTGGGGGGTTCTAGATAGACATCACTTAATTTGGGTTACTTCGTAGTAGAACCAAAGCAAATTCTCTCCTTTTAAGCCATTGCAGAATTTGCAGAATAGGATATTTCAACTGGTCTTTCCCTTGCTGCGATAACGCCTTTTTTCTAACCTAGAAACACTATCTGATTTGCTATTCATTCGTCATTACAGAGATGGTCTAATTCTCCTTGTGGTTGTGAGGTCTACCAATTCTGTCCGCCAGGTCCTGATTTAAAAGGGCTTCATTAGGAGGGGCTGGCCCTGCCTCTTCACCACCTGGAAGCCGGCCTTGACCTTTTCTCTGTTGGTGGTAGATTCTCCATCCATATCCTTTCCTCACCCCCCTTAATCTAACACTTGTCTGAATAAAAACTTTTGTGCAGAGTACTTTAAAAATGGCTTCATTTCTATGCTACAGAGCACCTAAGAATTTCAATCCAACACTTCTCCGTTTTTTGTGTGATTACAAAGGAACCCTTTCTGCTCTTGATATATAATAATTTTAAATCGCGAAGTATCGAGTGAACCTGAACACTTTCTTGATGATATCCAGGAGGGGGTCTTTTAAAAACCATCTGGGGCAGAAAAACTCAACTACACATGAAGGAAGGGAAGCTAATTGTTTTTTGTTCTCTACACTTCTTCTTAGATCACAATTGCAGAATTTTGGAGCTGCCTTTCAGCCATAGAATTCCCTTTCCCCCACCCCCACCTCCCTACCCCCACCTGGACTAAGAAATACAATGGAAATTTTTATTTAGCATTATTTGTTTAAACGAGATTTCATTACATACTTTTTTTTTTTTTTTAAGATTTTACTTATTTATTTGACACAGAGAGACAGCGAGAGAGGGAACACAAGCAGGGCGAGTGGGGGAGGGAGAAGCAGGCTTCCCGCGGAGCAGGGAGCCTGATGGCGGGTGGGGCGGGGGAAATGCAGGGCCCCATCCCAGGGTCGTGGCATCATGACCGGAGCCAAAAGCATCCGCTTAACTACCGAGCCCCTCATTCCGTACTACTTTGTGGAGCTTTACATAAGAAAACTTGCCTTGAACATCTGCTGATTTTGCTTCGGGCTACTTCACTTTTCCAATGCACTGGCTGGCTCTTCTTCACTTCTGGCCAGAAACTTCTGCTCTTAGAGGCAGCTTTCCAGCTCCGTTATTTATTACGGTAAAGATGCTTACGAACCTTTTAGACTGCACTGTGCCGAGACTTTTCTGCTGTCTCATGTTTTCATTCCTGTTCACTAGTGCCAAACATTTCTCCCAGAAGCAAAAATGATGAAACAACTATTTTCAGCAAAAGGGCCTGGTGACTATGGACTTGAGTTTTTGAAACTGAGCAATATTTTTTATTTCATAATCTTTAGTGCCTATAAATTCTGGTGATTTTTGTCCAGCTATAACGGGAAAGGGCATAAAGCAAAGTGGGTCAGAAAGAGACTTTCTCCCCTTAGTCCATACCCTGAACCTGGACTGGAAAAAAGATTCAGACGAACTGTTCTCTTATTTGTTGTTTCACCTTGGCAGCTTTGCTGCCCTTTTCAGTCATGATTCTTACAGCACTTTACAAATATATGAATAACTTCTTTGCAAATATGTATGTGAGGGAATGATTAAAACTACCTTTTCAGGTTCAGAAAATTCAAACTCAGCTTATTGGTTAAATCTTTCAAAAATTCCAAGTTTAATTTTTTTTTTTTAAGATTATTTATTTGAGAGAGAGACAGCAAGTGCAAGCATGTGTGGGTCCGTGGGGCGTGGGGGGAGGGGCAGAGGGAGAGGGAGAGAGAATCTCAAGCAAACCCCGCTGAGCGTGGAGCCCAAAGTGGGGCTCAATCTCAGGGCAGGTTCCTGAGATTGAGTAAGAGACAGGTAGGGCTAGGTTGGGATAGATAGATAGGTGGCTATGTGATCAGAAATGCGAAAAATGCTGAAGTGTAAGGAAACCAGAGATAAGGGAACAAACCGGGAGCACCCTGCCCTAGGTTATGGGGTGGGTGTCTTTTTTATGATAATCATCTGTGACCAACAAAGAATAACCAAACCCTAAAAAGAAGTGAGCCATTAAAGATGTTATTACCTGTCC